TTCCCAGAATGCACCGTTAAGTGGATTATCCCCTCGTGCAGCAGAACCGACAATTCACACAAAAATCCATAACTTGTCGAATATATGGTGGATTTACACGAATGGACGTTCGGTAGATAGCTGGGGTCTGAGCACATCATTCGTGAGATTACCGCTCAGATCTCAGCTAAAATAACCGAACGCCGCACGAAAGACAGATTTCTGATAAAACATATAAAAAGAACCGATTGCTTGCAGGGAACAAAATACTGAATGTCCCGAAACTCCCGAACGTCCTGGAGGCTCAGCGGTGTTCGTGCCGTCGAGTAGCCGTTTTTAGTACCATGCGTTCGACGACCTAGCACCGCTGAGGGAACAAAGGATCCAAGATGGCCGACCGCCGCATGGTCGGTAGTCGAACGACGGCCACCCAGGAGAGCCTCTAATAACTGATTGCAACATTGTTGCAATCGGTTAACTAGCGCCACACGCCTCTAAGTGTGTGGGCTATTAGGGGGTATTGCGTTCGGTTCAAAAGTGCCGTTCGTGAAACGAAAGAAAATCCCCATACAAAACCGCCATTTGCATTCGGTTAAAGGCAATGCAGAACATACATAAAGCATACACATACAGAATGAAGCACATATCTCTCTAGACATACAGGCAACCCTTAAAGGCCCAGTCTCTTTGTATTGTCCAAGTGGCTAGGTTTGCCACAATAATATTACAGTAACCACCCACAGTTCTCCTCCCCTCAGATAAGCATTTAACATAATTAACAAGTACATACTTTTCCCCGTGTTTTAGATGTACAACCTTAAAGGCTATACCCTGATAGCCCTGATCTGGGTGAGCAACATATTCAAAAATCACCCAGATCGGACCAGGGGTTCGGGAGTTATGGAGGTTTAAAGTTTTGACCGACCGCACAGGCAACAGTAGCCGAAAATAGTTCCATAAGTTTTGGCCTTGCGGTCGGTCTCTTTTCATGTTTAAAAAGTCCCGAAATACATGCCATCCAGGGTTGATCTTGTATTCGCATAAATTCCTTAGTGTGAGAGAGTCTTTCTACCGAACGGTTGTTTTAGCATGAATCTATGGGAGTCTGGAGGTCTCAGCGGTGTTTGCTTAGTCGAGTGTCCGATTTTAGTTCCAGAAACTCGACGGCAAAACACCGCTGTTCGGGAGTTTAAGATGGCCGCCGCCCGTGTCAAACTCCCGAAATGGCGGCCACCCAGGGACTTAACAAAGTGTTCGTGAGTTACCCACAAGAGGCAATAAAAACGAATTGGGAGGTTAATTGAGGTTACACTTATGCATCAAGGTGGTCCGGTGTTCGGTAGTTTGTGTTCGTATGGTGAATGAAGTATTTCAGTACAGTTTATGGGAACAATTAGACGAACGTTTTAATTCACACAAAAGTCTATGGGGAAAACAATGAGCGGGGAATATGCTGGACAGCCAGGTGTATTTTGCTACATAGTTAACCAGGTGAACAAAAAAAATCACATAATCACGCGGCTCGTGCCCCATTACGTGACAGTATATTCACAGGGAGGGCGCAACTTACCTGGATTGGGTGGGATAATACTTGCCTCTGTGTCCTTTATAAAATCAGGACTTTACATCATGAAATTAGTAAAATCTGGTAATTTTATTAAAGGACACGGAGGCTCCTATTATGCTAGTTCAAAGCTGTGTGACCACTGAAGTGGAAAAATGAGAAACTGGACGAAAATAAAATTCCCGTAGATTTGCTGGACCAATCAGCTGCACGGAGGAGATCTTCCAGTCTACACCCTAAAGAAAAGGCTTTTGATGCCATAGCACCCCTCACTGAGTGTGCTCCGTACGGGGAGGTATTGATGTCAGTGGACTCCATGATCCATTTAACCCAACAAGATATGGTAACTGTAGAAACTGGATGGTGAGGTTGTCGAATTGCCAGAAACAGATCTGGATACCGGGGATTACGAACCGAAGCTGTCCATGCTTCATATTCCTCGAGGAAGACTACTGGACACAGGTTAACTTTATGTGGAAAAGCTGGGTAGAAAACTGATGTATGTCTCGATATATCGAAGGAAACGCCTTCTGGTGTAAATGAGCGTGCTGCGAGGTCCAGTGCTTGGACATCTGAGACATGTTTACAGGAGATTAGACAAAACAGCATAACCAATTTAGCGGTGAGCTGCTTGATCGAAAGGTCCTCATTCTTTGGCCAATTTTCAAGAGAATTTTCGGAGAACATCCCACAAGGCTGAATATTTAGGTCATGGTGGGCGTGCAAACTTGATGCCACGTAGAAGCCGACATACCAATGGGTGTTTCCCTGTTTGAAGTCCATTCCAGTCTTGGTGGCCTGCCGAAATAGCTGATCTATATAAGTTGATTGTACGATATGCCAGGCCATGGTCGAAAAGTGAAGTAAGGAAACTTAAAACATGACTCACATTTGCAGATATGGGATCCACGAGTTGTTCCATTCACCAACTATTCCATACATTCCAGGCATGTAGATATCACCTCCTTGTCCCTGGGGCCCAAGCCCCTGCCAGGAGGTCCAGAGTTGTTTGTGGAACATTTGGGATGTAGCAGGGTCCCCTGAGAGGAGCCATGCCAAGAGCTTGAGTTTTCCCTGCAGTAGGAGGGGATGTGAGTTCCCGTTGGGGTCCAGTACGAGGTCGGTGACCACCGGTAGCAACCTTGGGAGATCTATGGACATTTCCATGAGTGTAGGGAACCATGGCTGAGATGTCCAGAAGAAGGATATGAGGATCAAGGAGGTTCGGAGACGTCTGAGGTGCAGCAGAGTCCGTGCGATAAGAGAAAAAGGAGGGAAGGCGTAATGGCGGGTATTCGGCCACGGTTGAAGGAAAGCGTCCGTCGCCAGAGCAATCCAGACAGAATTGCCAGAAAGTCAACAATACGCTAGTATTGTTGACTGCGTGCCCCCGAGGTGGTTGATATAGCGGACCGCTGAGATATTTTCCATGCGTAACAGGATGGAACAGTTGGCTGATATACTTAAAAGACTCCGTAGGGCAAACGATCCTTGCAGCAGCAAAAGAAAGAGGAGTGTCTTAGGGTCACATGAGACATTAAAGAAAGACATTAAGCATAATACTCGCCTCCGTGTCCTTTAATAAAATCAATATGTTTATGTAGCCATAGTCACACCTGTGGCTCCTTGTCTTGGAGCACCTTTCCTTGGAAGTCGAAACCTTCTGTGAAGGCCACATACTTAATGGCTGCCATAGCATTGCGTGATGCACCCCTGGCAAAATGGACACACAGGGACGACACTAGTGTCAAAGACGCCATGGTGCAGATTTTTTTTTGTGGCCCAAGGTGGGCGTGGTCATCTTCCTTCACTTTACAGACATGCAGGTGTAGAATATTGCATATTCTATGTTTCTATTGATTATATATGGATGTATGGATTGACATAAGTAACAGATGGTATCAATAAGTCACAAGGCTTTCTTTGTCCGAGAGCTCTGGAATGTGGATTCGGGGGTCTTGTCCTTATATGGCAAGAGTTAAACGCTGACGTTAGTATTAGCACATCTATATAGTAACAGAGGGACACGAGGTCTCTCAGACTTAGTCTTGGCTTGGCTCTTGGCTCTGTACAACGATGTAACTCTCCCATCAGAAGTCCAGCAATTACCATCTGCTGTTGAATGTCCATTATCCTGTAACATCATTTATTATGTTTTATTATGTATCCGTAACTAAGAATAAACCTGAAGAAACCGTAAGTCAGATTGCGTATTACTACTTTTCAATAATATAGACATATATTATTGTGGCAAGCATTTGGCCCAAGAATATATATACAAAAGACGTATATATATCAATCAACTGAAGACAAGAAGAAATTAAGAAGATTCTACATTAACTCCAAATCCAAACTACATTTTACATTGGCCAGCCAGCCAGTCTTCTATTCAAGTTTTGTTCCCACTTCAAGGGGGGAGAGAGAAGAATCGAGTTACAAAGCTATTTTTGGAACTGGGAAAACAAACTTGAAGAGAAAAAAAAGAATCTAGACTGAATCATAGAAGAACTGTGGTTTGTAAGAAAAATAAAGTTTTCAAATCACAAAGACTGTACAAGACTATTTTCTTCAACTGAGACAAAAAGCACAAGATACAATGTGAATTCTAGAAGCAAGCACGTGGCAGAGATTGGCAAGCGCCAGATCAAAGTCCAGAACTGCGCAGCTGTGTGGATGAAGCAACGAAATAGACAGAAATAACTGATCTGGTAAAGCGTGATCCATGTGGCAATAAATCAGGAAAGCATTCCTTTAGACAACTGGACATCGACTGTTGGAAAGAGACTTTTCATCTGATCTGCAAACTGTGATGGAAGATTCTACAGAGTTCATTTGATACAGAAGATTAAAAGACTTACAAAGAAATAAAAGATTGACACTAATATAAATTCCTAAATATTAATGAAGAAGAAAACAGACAATGAAAAGTTATTTAACAGTTATGAGTATTAATACCAAAAGAGAGTACTTATAAATATAACACATGGAGTAAAATTATGAAAGGATAGTATTATGAAGAGAACTATTATATTATTACCTATACATAGGATGAGAAGTATCAGAGGTAGATAAAATATGAAGTTGATAAAATAAGGATCATGGTTACTTAATACCACAAAGATTGAGTTCAATAGTATTTCATAGATTAACTATAATGAGTAATTTGTTTATATCGAGGTGAAGTAAAACAAACAATGGTAACATAAGGAAGAAAACTAAGGAAGGATAATTTATATTGATTAATATTAAGTAATTATATACATTAAGAATGCCTTGGATATAAGAGTTCAGAGATCCAAGAGGAATTGAATTGAAGTTGAGTTAAGAGTATAGTACACGATTATATTTGACCTAAGTCTATAAAGGTATGGACTAGGGAGAATAGGTTTCTGGATATGATGGTATCCAATGAATACGTTGTTATAAATTGTTTTATGATTAGCCTGAGTTTGTTAGACACAGACTAGGAATAAGAGTTTCTGGGCAGTATGACCCCAAGTTTATTATATTTTAATTTAGTCAGTTGAAGGGTACTAAGGAATACGGATTGGTCAGAACATTAGGACAATCCTGCTTTTAAGATGTATTACATTAATAAGTCATCACAATGCTAATGTAGAGAGTGATGCTAATGAATTTAAAGTATTCTTTCCAAGTTCTTTTAAAGTAAACCATTCTCCGATTGAATGAAAAGTTTGTTACTACAAGGTAGAATAGTAGTCAAAATTATAATTATGTAAACAAAAACAAATCTATGATAGAAAGATTTCTGGGTGCAGAATTTCTAGGACAATAAGTATTGTCAACACCATGAACATTATTTGAAGAATTATTCTAGAACTTCATGGTTGATAACACATCCTTTGAATGAGACTTATAAGTAGTGTTGGTATATTTTAGGTAGTGAGAGCCTACTGAATATTCAAATTAAATACTATGATTGTAAAGTACTGATACAATCATCACTAGGTGGTATTAATGGTATAGAAATGTAATTCATGAATACAAATGACCTAAAGATTTTAAGGTTGCTAGAAACCATATAAATACATGGAAATATAATTGGACAGGATATTATAGTAATACATGTATTAGTACTTAAGTAATATCAGGTATTGAGAATGAAAATACTATGCTATATGTGTCTGTAGGAGTATTATAGTGATACACAGTTATTATTATTTAGAAAGTTATCATCTTGATTTTGTTATCTACAAAGACATGACTGTAGCTGAGCAGGTAGATATTTCTGATTGCTTTATTGTTTATTGGATCAACATTTGTAAATATTGTATTCATTTATTATTGTATGTATATATTATGTTCAAGTAGTTATGATGTAACATGGATATGGATATCAATACATAGCTGAAACAGAGGGAGTTTTGAAGTAAAGTAAGCAGTATGAGGGATAGAAACTCGACCTTCTAAGAACTCTCATATAATAGAAAGTTGTGACTACATCTTGTTCTATGCTCAATGAATGTGATACAAGTGATGTATGAATGGACAGGTTAATTACATTGTGTTATGGTTTTAAAACAAACCATAAACAGAGGGAATGTAGAATATTGCATATTCTATGTTTCTATTGATTATATATGGATGTGTGGATTGACATAAGTAACAGATGGTATCAATAAGTCACAAGGCTTTCTTTGTCCGAGAGCTCTGGAATGTGGATTCGGGGGTCTTGTCCTTATATGGCAAGAGTTAAACGCTGACGTTAGTATTAGCACATCTATATAGTAACAGAGGGACACGAGGTCGCTCTCACTCTTGGCTTGGCTCTGTACAACTATGTAACTCTCCCATCAGAAGTCCAGCAATTACCATCTGCTGTTGAATGTACATTATCCTGTGTAACGGACCGTTTCTCTCACAAGAGGATAAAAACCGTTTAGGCGATAATCCCCTTTCCCATAGACCAGCAGCTACTGCAAGCACCAAACTGTACGAATTCACCAACTCCCGAACTGGAAACACACGAACACTGGAATCAGCCGAACAGGAAAAGCATACAATCCGCTCACACTCCTGGCAGTCAGCATACAATCCAATTCCCCCCAAAAACGAGACGACACATCGGTTTGAGGGTCAAGCAGAATCTCCCTGTACTGTCACATACAGTCTCTTTTATTCCCAATCCACAAACATAGTACAGCCCAGAGGGCATTACAAAACAACCAATCAATCTGTACAATACACCCAGACACTCCCACACAAAATCCTCCCCTCTGCAGGTGATATGATTACTGAACACAATGGGTAATCTCATTATCACCGGCAGAGGAATACAGTTTTTACACAATATTTATAACTTCTAAAATATACATGTCACAAACATAAAACATACATTTTCATAATCAATCCATTCAGGGGAACAACATATTAAAAAATGGCACAAATCAGACCAGGGGTTCAAAAGTTAAGGGAAAGTCCTTTGTGACTAAATGAAGCATGGCTTTCTGGCCCAAACCAGTTTCAGAGTCTTCTATCCTGGAGAGTAATTCAATTATCTCCCAGGATAGACACAAGACTCCATTAAGCACATGGTTGCAAAAAGACACAAAACACTTTAAAATACATAAAGTCACATTTACACATAACACACAGACATTTCACATATCCCCAGATAGCTGGGATCTGAGTGCACATTATTAGATGAATGGCACTCAGATCACACAAATAAGCCTTTCTGCAGGGGAAATAAACAGTTTAACCTGCAGGGCCATAGTCCAAAGGGAGCAGGCGAGCAACCAGGCTTCTCCAGTTCACAGTGGCGAGGTTGGTTTCGCCACACTTCTCCCCTTTACCAACTAGACTAACAGGGTATCTGACCTCCTGCCGGTCAGTGCCCTGGTTAGTCCAGCAACCCACCCACAAAACTGAAACAGCAGTACAGCCCACCCACAATAACTGGTTACTACACCTGGGTAGAGGAGAACTTTGTCCATGTCCAGGTGCCTCACCACGACTGTGTGGGCAACTGTTAAGCTGCCTTGGTGGGTTGCTGAGTGGGCAGAGACCAGCGGTACTCTGCCCTGATGCCAGTGCTACCACGGAAGTAGCCTGGTGGGAGCCTGGTTGTGGGAGGGAGAGACCGACTGTCTCCTCTCTGGATACACCGCTCTGTGGCTGGGGAACAGGACCGACTGTCCCTACCCCTTGTGCTGTAAGTGCAGAGACTACAGTCCCATCTGCACTGTTGGGGGGTGTAACATCTCCCCTTGCTGGGTTAGGCTGCCGCTGGAGAGAGGGTGTAACAAGCTCCTCTCTCTGAACTGTAAACTGCCGCTGGGGGGAAGGGGTATCAGGCTCCTCTCCCTGACACTCTCTCTGCTGGTGGAGAGGGGGACCAGCTGTCTCCCCTTTCATTATTTTGTCCTGTTGTTGGGGTGCAAGACTGACGGTCTCTGCTCCCTGCAGGACACTCTGCCGCTGGGGAGGAAGGACGGCACCTTCAGCTCCCTGGGGTACACACTGCCGCTGGGGATGAATGACGGCACCTTCAGCTCCCTGGGGTACACACTGCCGCTGGGGAGGAAGGACGGCACCTTCAGCTCCCTGGGGTACACACTGCCGCTGGGGAGGAAGGACGACACCTTCGGCTCCCTGGGATACACACTGCCGCTGGGGAGGAAGGACGGCACCTTCTGCTCCCTGGGGTACACACTGCCGCTGGGGAGGAAGGACGGCACCTTCAGCTCCCTGGGATACACACTGCCGCTGGGGAGGAAGGACGGCACCTTCAGCTCCCTGGGGTACACACTGCTGCTGGGGAGGAAGGACTGCACCTTCAGCTCCCTGGGATACACACTGCCGCTGGGGAGGAAGGACTGCACCTTCAGCTCCCTGGGATACACACTGCCGCTGGGGAGGAAGGACTGCACCTTCAGCTCCCTGGGATACACACTATCGCTGGGGAGGAAGGACTGCACCTTCAGCTCCCTGGGATACACACTGCCGCTGGGGAGGAAGGACTGCACCTTCAGCTCCCTGGGACTTACTCTGCCGCTAGGGAGGAAGGAATGCACCTTCAGCTCCCTGGGATGTACACTGCCGCTGGGGAGGAAGGACGACACCTTCAGCTCCCTGGGGTACACACTGCCGCTGGGGAGGAAGGACGACACCTTCAGCTCCCAGGGGTACACACTGCCGCTGGGGAGGAAGGACGACACCTTCAGCTCCCTGGGGTACACACTGCCGCTGGGGAGGAAGGACGGCACCTTCAGCTCCCTGGGGTACACAGCGGCAGCTCCCTGGGGTACACACTGCCGCTGGGGAGGAAGGACGACACCTTCAGCTCCCTGGGGTACACACTGCCGCTGGGGAGGAAGGACGACACCTTCAGCTCCCTTGGACACACACGGCCGCTGGGGAGGAAGGACGACACCTTCAGCTCCCTGGGATACACACTGCTGCTGGGGAGGAAGGACGACACCTTCAGCTCCCTGGGGTACACACTGCCGCTGGGGAGGAAGGACGGCACCTTCAGCTCCCTGGGGTACACACTGCCGCTGGGGAGGAAGGACGGCACCTTCAGCTCCCTGGGTTACACACTGCCGCTGGGGAGGAAGGACGCACCTTCAGCTCCCTGGGATACACACTGCCGCTGGGGAGGAAGGACGGCACCTTCAGCTCCCTGGGGTACACACTGCCTCTGGGGAGGAAGGACGCACCTTCAGCTCCCTGGGGTACACACTGCCGCTGGGGAGGAAGGACGCACCTTCAGCTCCCTGGGATACACACTGCCGCTGGGGAGGAAGGACGGCACCTTCAGCTCCCTGGGGTACACACTGCCGCCGGGGAGGGCGGACGATACCTTTGGCGCAATCTGCCACGACCTGCAGGTACTCTGCTACATGTCTCCTCACGCGCTGCACGGACTCCTCCGAGGGGGTGTAGGATCCATAGAGAGCCAGCCGTGTTTTAAACTCTCTGTCAAACTCCTCCTGAGTGTAGCTGGGCGCCATGTTTGCTCTGCCGAAGTTGGTTCCTTTGTAGATAGGGTCGCTGTATGTGTAATAGCGTTGCCCTCAATTTGTAATCGAGGAATTGATGTTGTCTTGTAACTGTCCTTCTGGGCTGTGGGAATTATCCCGTCGCTTGCCACCAATTGTAACGGACCGTTTCTCTCACAAGAGGATAAAAACCGTTTAGGCGATAATCCCCTTTCCCATAGACCAGCAGCTACTGCAAGCACCAAACTGTACGAACTGGATTCACACACGAAGCCTGGAATCAGCCGAACAGGAAAAGCATACAATCCGCTCACACTCCTGGCAGTCAGCATACAATCCAATTCCCCCCAAAAACGAGACGACACATCGGTTTGAGGGTCACACAGAATCTCCCTGTACTGTCACATACAGTCTCTTTTATTCCCAATCCACAAACATAGTACAGCCCACAGGGCGTTACAAAACAACCAATCAATCTGTAACAATAGGAAAACAAAATCCTTCTCTGACACCTGGCAGTCAGATTTACAATCCATTATTACCCTACATTGAAAGATTATATCCTTGAATATTCTGTTTTTGGAAGTATGCATCTAGTAGCTGTTTGAACATCTGTATGGACTCTAATAAAAGCACTTCTTCAGGCAGAGAATTCCACATCCTGATTGTTCTTACAGTAAAAAACCTTTCCTTTGGGGGCGGAGCCAGCAGCCGACTGACGCGGACGTGCAGCCTCAGAGCTCCGTAGCTAACAGCCTGAAAATCCGCAAAATAACGGAACAAAAAGCGAAATACCACCTTATATTACAGCATCCCGAGATGGGAAAGAAGCCCAAACACCGGGGGGCTGCAAAACTGGCGGGGGCTCGTGATATCAGAGCACTTCTCCTCCGACCTGCCAAGGCCGCAGTAACCCCTACGCCGAACCAAGATGGCGACTCTGCCTCTGCGTCCTCTGCAGAACAGCTCCTTGATGAGTTGGACGACTTCCCCGGCAACGGGGGACTACACAGTGTATCTTCAGACGAAGACAATGACCTGCCCTCCACCAAAGGGGACATAAAAGCCACCCTATGCAATATACGCTCCCTCTTCGCGGCAGACATGGCGGTCCTGAGAGAAGAGATTCACACCGTGGAGGGGTGAGTGAGGAGGACAGAGACGGAATCGCAGGGCCTCACCGCACGCTGTGTACAATTAGAGGCTCACAACACAGAGCTGCAGCGCACCCAGACAATGCTCACCACCCGCCTGGACGCAATGGTGGACCGGCATAGAAGCCGCAACATGAAGATCAGAGGGGTCCCCGAAACAGTGACCCAGGAAGGCCTAGAGGGATATCTTGGGCGACTCCTCGCCTCCCTGCTCACACCACAGCAGATGAAGACGGCCCTAACAGACGGGTCTTACAGAATCCCAAGAGCCGCTAGAGCCCCAGCAGACACCCCGAGAGACATCATCCTCCAATTTCAAACACGGACGGGCCAAGCAACCTTTATGGCGGCGGTGAGAGGAAAGGCATCCCACCTCTTTGAGACAGCTAGCCTGTCGTTCTTCCAAGACCTATCCAGGCCCACGTTGCTGTGGAGAAGCCTCCTCAAACCCCTGACGACCGCTCTCCGCCAAGCCTCAGTCCCATACCGTTGGGCATTCCCCAGAAGCTTGCTCATCACACATAAAGGCGCATCCACACGGGTCACTGACCCATCGGAAATAGACTCAGTACTGACAGCGCTGGGCCTACCACCGAGACAGGAACAAGCTAATACCGACCAGAGGCCAAAGGCCCAACACACGTGGGATGTAGCAAACGTAAGACCGTTCCAACCAGCCACCACCAGCGCCTCGTCCTCCACCGCCTACAAAGCGCAACGGGCAAATCGGCACCTAGCGGAAACCTGAGAGGACAAGTACCCGAACTGCGACAAACAACTAGGCAGGACTACCGCAAAATTGACTTAAGGCGTTTAGTTAATAGCTCACCCCCCATTTTACATGGACACGCAAAATAGACCTACTTTAACGTGCTCCCACCGTAATCAGAGAACTACCCTCAGCAAAAGACTGGCACAAAATAACGCGACACTCCACGACCTCAGCGATACTGGTAGGCAGAGGATCGAGACCGGTCCCACGCCATCCGCAGCGAATCCACTGATAGACATTCTGTCAAACTACCTGAACAGGACTGTCATCTGGCACATGGCCACAACCAGCAAGGAGCCATCCAGCTTTTGTATAGCGTTGACTCGTCCAGTATTATTTTGTCTGGGCCCTAACAAACCATCTTGCATACGTTTAGTTTGTTGTAATTAATCTCTATACCCCACCAGTTAATTAGCCGGACCAAATCAGAGTTAGATCTCTGTGTCACCTGCCATGGACACTTTGAGTTAAGATATGTACGCTGAGGTCCCATCCCCTTCACGCTCACACCTGATGTTATCACTTAGTTTACCGCAGCCTTAATGCTTATATTCCAGTCAAGATGATCTTGCCAGTATCATGTAATGCATCGTAGGTCCTGTTGTAAGACTGTTTTGTTTTTGCCCCTTAGTTAACAAGCCAGGGTGACCCAAATATGGAGGTTGTCCACTTACTAGCTTAAGAGGGGCACACTAACATACTATAACTGGAAGAAAGAGAGGGGCTATGGGGTGGGGAAACCACCACCACTACCCCACAAAAAGGTTACAGAGGTACAAGGGGCGTAACCCCACAATATATATAGAAAAAAAGCCAATAATGAGACGACACTTCACTTTGAGGGTTAAAACAGGAACTCCAGTGCTGGCACACCCAGCCTGGTTTTTATTACAATCCACAAAACATAGTACTGCCCACAGGGTTTTGCAGAACCACCAATAAACACATTACAACACATACAATGCAAGTACAGCAGCCAATCAGACACAATGGGACAATAGAAACACACCCAGCATATTCCTCCCCTCTGCTTAGGAGATAATTGAGTCAATTACTGGATCTACTCAATTATCTCCAAGCTGAAAAGTTACTTTTTGTACATTTTTATAACTTTGTGAGTTAACATCGTACATACATAAAACTTACATTTTCATAATCAATCCATTCAGGGGAACAACATATTAACAAATGGCACGAATCAGACCAGGACTTCAAAAGTTAAGGGAAAGTCCTTTGTGACTAAATGAAGCATGGCTTTCTGGCCCAAACCAGTTTCAGAGTCTTCTATCCTGGAGAGTAATTCAATTATCTCCCAGGACAGACACAAGACTCCATTAAGCACATGGTTGCAAAAAGACACAAAACACTTTAAAATACATAAAGTCATCTTTTACACATAAGACACAGACATTTCACATATCCCCAGATAGCTGGGATCTGAGCGCACAAAACTACCGAATAGCGCTCAGATCCTATTCACACAGTTCAATTGCCATGGAGCCGAAGTCTTTAACTACACGAATGGGCTCCATGGCATAGCTATCTGGGTTAACACATTCACATAAAGTCTGGTCCATAGTCCCAAGGCAAGAGGCTGGCAAGCAGCCCCCTCCAAGGACACGTGGCGAGGCCGGTTTCGCCACAACCATGTTCTCAATGAACCCAAAAAACTCATTAATATCAAAGCTGAATATTTTTGGAAGTAGTTTTTAGTTTGTTTTTAGTTATAGCTATGTTAGGGGGATATCTGTGTGTGCAGGTGACTATTACTGTGCATAATTATTAGGCAACTTAACAAAAACAAATATATACCCATTTCAATTATTTATTATTACCAGTGAAACCAATATAACATCTCAACATTCACAAATATACATTTCTGACATTCAAAAACAAAACAAAAACAAATCAGTGACCAATATAGCCACCTTTCTTTGCAAGGACACTCAAAAGCCTGCCATCCATGGATTCTGTCAGTGTTTTGATCTGTTCACCATCAACATTGCGTGCAGCAGCAACCACAGCCTCCCAGACACTGTTCAGAGAGGTGTACTGTTTTCCCTCCTTGTAAATCTCACATTTGATGATGGACCACAGGTTCTCAATGGGGTTCAGATCAGGTGAACAAGGAGGCCATGTCATTAGATTTTCTTCTTTTATACCCTTTCTTGCCAGCCACGCTGTGGAGTACTTGGACGCGTGTGATGGAGCATTGTCCTGCATGAAAATCATGTTTTTCTTGAAGGATGCAGACTTCTTCCTGTACCACTGCTTGAAGAAGGTGTCTTCCAGGAACTGGCAGTAGGACTGGGAGTTGAGCTTGACTCCATCCTCAACCCGAAAAGGCCCCACAAGCTCATCTTTGATACCAGCCCAAACCAGTACTCCACCTCCACCTTGCTGGCGTCTGAGTCGGACTGGAGCTCTCTGCCCTTTACCAATCCAGCCACGGGCCCATCCATCTGGCCCATCAAGACTCACTCTCATTTCATCAGTCCATAAAACCTTAGAAAAATCAGTCTTGAGATATTTCTTGGCCCAGTCTTGACGTTTCAGCTTGTGTGTCTTGTTCAGTGGTGGTCGTCTTTCAGCCTTTCTTACCTTGGCCATGTCTCTGAGTATTGCACACCTTGTGCTTTTGGGCACTCCAGTGATGTTGCAGCTCTGAAATATGGCCAAACTGGTGGCAAGTGGCATCGTGGCAGCTGCACGCTTGACTTTTCTCAGTTCATGGGCAGTTATTTTGCGCCTTGGTTTTTCCACACGCTTCTTGTGACCCTGTTGACTATTTTGAATGAAACGCTTGATTGTTCGATGATCACGCTTCAGAAGCTTTGCAATTTTAAAAGTGCTGCATCCCTCTGCAAGATATCTTACTATTTTTGACTTTTCTGAGCCTGTCAAGTCCTTCTTTTGACCCATTTTGCCAAAGGAAAGGAAGTTGCCTAATAATTATGCACACCTGATATAGGGTGTTGATGTCATTAGACCACACCCCTTCTCATTACAGAGATGCACATCACCTAATATGCTTAATTGGTAGTAGGCTTTCGAACCTATACAGCTTGGAGTAAGACAACATGCATAAAGAGGATGATGTGTTAAAAATACTAATTTGCCTAATAATTCTGCACTCCATGTATAATATATAAATGTAGAATTTTTTTACTACTCCTTTTTCAGCTCTGTTAGTTGCGTCTCACTTGATCTGTGAATCAAATAAACATTTAGCGACTGCCAC